ATTACTTAGCTTGTGACTTAAAAGAAACGGCATTTCCGTTAATCTATCGAGTAAGTCTTTCTTTTCGTGACGTACATGCAGTTTTAATGTGTAATCGCCTTTCTCTAATTTTTGATTAGCATACTGCAATAAAAAATCGTGTCACTTTTTTATTTCTTACCGTTAATTCATAAGTGATACTTACCTTAGATGGGTACGCATCTCCGCAACAAATCAGTTGTTTATTGCTATCATAAATCATCCACAATTGACTCTCGTATTCACTTTCGTACAATAAATCACTGAGCAGTGCTGCATTTGGAGTAACTTCAGCTGATTTTGCACAGTGGAACGAATACGATAGTTGCAATTCATAAATTTGTCGCGATGGTGGAATAATATCTCGTTCTCTTAAAGGAGCGATCTTTGCGTCAGTGGGTCTGTAACATCAGAAGAAAAAAACATTGGATCAAAGTAATTCATTTTTATTGGTGAATATCGTGTAAAGAATTTTTTTTCCACACACTTTAATATTTGCACGGATGATTTGAGAGAAATACAGGGAACTACTTCTTCATTTCTGAGGGAACTTCGTACTTCTAAGCGATTTACTCCATCTCCAGATTGCATTGTAAGATTTCCATTGATCATGTGAAGACCATGAAATTCTATAAAATAATCGACTAACATGTCACCTATGTTTGCCCAATATTTCGCGACAACCACTTCTAAGATCAATCCTCCCTAAGAATAAAACAGATATGTATTTACAATTAAAATATTATTTCGACGTGTTAAAATTGATTGGAAAAATTTTTAATACCTGAACAGCAAATGGGTGAACAATTTCTGACTGGGAGGTGACAGTATACAATTTATTAGCTTCGAGAGTCTTACAGGACAAACGAGGTTTCAATTGTACAGTGTGAATCGCAAATCTTCCGTGTTTATCTTTTTCTGAACTCTTCAATCTAATAACTAAATTGAATTACATTAAAATATTAATTATGGACGTTCATACATATATAATAAATATCGTAAAAAATATTTACCCGCCCATGTTGCGTCTTCTGGTACGAGAATAAAGTGTCGGCGTATTGTGTTAGGTTTAAATAAAATATTTGTATACGATAAGTCTGGAAGGATCGCAGTTTTTGGCAGTGTTTGTGGTTGCACTACAGTAACTGGTATTTGGAACACTGGTCCTTTTGCAACGTCTGTTACATCATAAGCTCTGACACTGTAAAAGACGATTAACATCGATGTTATGCATTGCGAGTGTACAAAGAATATTTTAATTTTATTCCAAGCATATTTACTTAGTTGTATGAACACCTTCAGGTAAATTAAAAGCGTCAACTTTGATAGCGAACGCACGAACCATATTCATTAAATCGAGATGTGTTGGAAAATGCACCCAAGATGCATCGCATACCAGAGTTAATTTCAAGTTGAAAGCGATTTTGAGTGCTGGGTCTATAAATCATCCAAATATTGTAACAAATGACACTCAATTAAAATATATAGTATTGCATTAACAGACGTATAAAGTTATACCGGTTTGTTCACTATTAAGGAATACAGGTTCAACAGTAATGGCATAATCTTTCGGCCGATCAATGACGCCGCTTCTCAGATGAATTCCTTTCGCGTTATTCGGACCACAGTTAACAGTAAATCTTACATCCCTTTCAGTCACATTGCTATAAGTAACAAGATTATCGAACGCACGTTCGACTTGTAATAATCCTGAACCCTGTGCAAAAGGATCCAAATTTGTTATGTATAATGCTGTGTTTTCAAGTGCCCTTTTTATGTTATACGGGGAATATGGGCAATTTTTAGCAAGAAGTCCCGATATAAGTATTGCTGTAACATAAAACACATGTAAAAATAACCTTTTTTTTTATTGATATACTATTTTTATATCTTACTAAACATCAATTTACCAATAGCTCCAGTTACATGTGGTGCAGCCATGCTTGTACCATTCATAAGTTGACTTTTTCTTAATGTAAAATTGGGAACACTCGTTATAGCTCCTCCTGGAGCACATACGGTAATTCCAGCTCCGCCATCGATCATCGGGCCACGAGATGACCAGGTGTATGACATGCCTGGCATTTTTTCTCTTAAAGAATATTCAGCTACCATCATATCAGGAGAAACGTAGGCGCCAACGCTAACTACGCTATTAGAACTAATATCTGGCGGTGTTCCTATATGATTTAAAAATAGATATTTCACAAGATGTAAATATTTGAAGTATATATGTAAAAGTTTCGAATATTCTTATCAACTAACCAATGGTACATAAAGCTGGACCAAGATTACCAGCAGATGATACCCACGTTACTCCGTATTTGTCAATAACTTCGTTCATTAATTCTCCTATTCTTCCTGAGTTAGACCAATGGGCATGTTCTCCGTAGCTCATATTTATTACGTGTATTTTCTCTTTGTGTTTCATTACATGTATCATTGCCCGTACTACCGCAGTTCCTGTTTCCATTGTACCAATGCGGCCATCTCCGACACTTAATGAAATAATTTGAGCACCAGGAGCTACACCATTTAATTCAGGATTATCAGGAAAATATGCCGCTGCAATTGAAGCTACATGTGTGCCGTGACTTGCTGCAACACATCAAGATTAATTATTAGTCCAATGAACAAACAAGCAATTGTAGAATTAATTTCGTGGATACTTACAACATAGACTAACAATTTCTAACGTATTTCCATCATCATGAACATTAATACTAATATTTAGTTGATCCTCTGGTATGAGGGGTGCATACTGCCTTGTTTTAGTGTATTCCCCTAGGAAAACGCCAGCTTCCAAGTTACCTTCTTCTGAAGTGTCAATACATGCTCTTTAACAAAAAATATAAAGGGTTAAATTAAATGCTAATATTCATAGAAAAAAATATTTTAATACATCTGTAAATGCAAAAGTATCCTACATATATCTTTACCTCCAAACTTCACCATCATGAAAAGCAACACAGTCATAAGTAGGTCCTACATCAGAATATTTTTTCTCAACATTATTCAATATTTCAACTCTTGCTTCAAGTTCCTCTTTATCTAGCCTTTCTTTTAAATTGGCTAATTGTGGATTTTTTGCTTCAAATTCCTATGTACAATAATTGTATAGCATAAAAATCAAATTGTTCTTATTTTTACTAAAAATTACATGTTTACAGAATAGCTGCTTGTATTTTAATTAAGTCCGTTTTCTTGTTTTTAAACATACTATTACACAGTATAAAAAACGTGACACTCTATTATGTAATGAATCAATAGCTTTACAGTAGATCAAACTGCCAATTATAAATATAGCATTAGATACAGATCACTGTGACACATTGTGAAACCGGCCTCATTTGATTGCATGGTTCAACATACCCACAACAACCCTATCTTTGGATCACATGGTCTAAAAGCCTATTTACGAATTTGTTCTTAAATTGATGTATAAGTCACTATTGTTTGCACATGAGACAAATTAATTAATGTCTTATTCCTAACATATGTATTAAGTACAGTCAAAATACAACTAATTTATTTACTTGTAATTCTCTAGATGCTTCTGCAAGAGCAGATTTTTGACAATTATCCCATAAACGTTTTTTTCTTTCTAGTAATACTCTTTCTCTTAATTTTCCTGGATATAATGAATATAAATTTTTTTCTCCAATGTGATATTCTCCTGTGGGATTTTTCCAGTTGGATGGAACCTGAAAAAAAATTATTCTTTTTATTAACCATCATATTAAATATTATCAAGTTAATCAAACATCTTGGTTATGATTACTTTCACAGTGAACAAAACACCATTTGAATTATACCTTCAATTTACGGCCAGTTATGCCAATTATGTATCCATCAGGTGCCTGTACAACTTTACTGGTGTCTACATCTCCAGCTCCACTGCAGTCATACCTTTCAATAATTTTTGGTTTTCCATCTGAAGTTTCCTATATGAAGTAAATTTATTATAAAAATGAACATTTTATTTTATTCAAATTTAATTTGTTTTAATTATCAAAGAAAAATTTGCTATATCATTCTACAAATATTATCATGTAACAAAGAATGACAAACATGAATTCATGAAGCTTAACTATAAAAAGGGATGACTAATGCATTACATTTTAGTACTTAACAACCAAAGAATTCACACAATAAACAATTTTTAAATTTTATTGCTAATGTAGAAAGAAACAAATATACAATGGCTATCAATGATTACATTACAGCATGACAGAAATTTCTGAGGCAAATATAAATGAAAATAAAGGCAAAGAACGGAGATAAAAGACCGAAATTGCGCTACGTATACTTTCTGATTTAACGTTAAATTATTCAAAGGTTTTCGTATCATATACAGGGAAAACAAACAGAAATCCATGAATGAAATAAACGCGCCCGTTAAGCCGAGACTTTTGACAATATAAAATTTTCAGGAAAGACAAAGATATTTGGGCAAAATTTAAATTAAAAAAAAAAAAGATGACAGGAAAAGCAGTGATTTGGACAAACGCGAGGTGTGTCTATATAAAACCTTACTTACCTGCATACCAGGAGCCCCAGGATCAATTCCTGAATCGAAAATTGCAATGATGACTCCTCGACCATCATATTCGGGATATTTGGTTAGAAATTGAGTGACACCAGTTTCTTTTTTAGGTAAAAGGCCCCAAACAGGAAAATTACAATCAATGACCTCTGCCATATTTCAAATGCCACTGCCACCGCGACTCCAGAAAAACTACTTGAGATGTTTCCTTTGTACTGCCACAGCCTTATATATCAATCAAAAAACAGCATCTGCGCGTGCGTGAGTGTTCACTAAAATTTTGAGGTTAAGTTATCGGCTCACGATACGTCAGACCAAACAGACAATAAGAAACAAAATCCGTGAAACGTTTGCGTTTGGGTGCTCAGATAGCAGCACCGACATTACGTCAATAATTGAATGAAACAGTACTCCAAAATTGTGAATTTCACGATTTAATAATGTGGTGATGTAAGAGGTTATGTTTTTTAATCATGGAAATCGGAAAATGACATACTCGTCGCAGTCGAACGTTATCGCTTTCACCGTACTGTAGTACGGTGTTAATCTGTGACAGATCGAGGAGGAAAGTAACGTGAATATCTTCGATGACATGTGCAATGTTAAAGCATGGTTCTCACGCCACGAAAGATGAAACAGGTTGCCTTTTCCGTGATTTGTATAATATTAGGTAATAATGTTTCACGCAAATTCTGCTATTCTCGGCGTTTCCTTACCAGCTGTAATCGTTCATCCTTGAGCGATAACATCAATGTCACGTATGTTTAATATATTGCAGTGTTAGGATTTTACAAAACATTAGTCAATCCAGAGGAAGAACAATCTTTCCTTCGAGTTCATCCACGGGATCGTAAGTCACATCTAGGAGACATAAATGAAATTGAATCTGAGAAGATTCAAGAGGCTGATGAAGATGTACGCTATCCTGACATTAAAGATATAGAAGAAGCAAAAATACGAATTCGTGAATTAGAGGGTAAACTACAACATCTTGAGGCTAAAATTGAGAACAGAGTGTCAAAGGACTTTCCAACAGTCAAATTTCTCAATTACAAGAACAGAAAAAGAATACTGGTTACAGGTGGAGCAGGTTTTGTTGGGTCACATTTAGTAGACCGTTTAATGCTTGCTGGCCATGAACTGATAGTTGTAGATAACTTTTTTACTGGAAGAAAACGCAATGTTGAACATTGGGTTGGCCATGAAAACTTTGAGCTTGTTCACCATGACATTGTCAGACCCCTTTACTTAGAAGTTGATGAAATATATCACCTTGCCAGTCCAGCTAGTCCACCTCACTATATGCTTAATCCTGTTAAAACAATAAAAACAAATACTTTAGGCACAATAAACATATTAGGTCTTGCAAAAAGAGTAGGTGCAAGAGTCTTAATAGCTAGTACATCTGAAGTTTATGGAGATCCTAATGAACATCCTCAATCAGAAACTTATTGGGGACATGTGAATCCTATAGGTACATCAAATTTACGACAACTTCGTTTAGTTGCAATACACGTAAAAATTCATAATTTGATTTCCGTAGGTCCAAGAGCTTGTTACGATGAAGGAAAACGTGTCGCCGAAACTTTGAGTTACGCGTACATGAGACAAGAGGGTGTCTCGGTACGGGTTGCCCGAATTTTCAATACTTTCGGGCCTAGAATGCATATGAACGATGGTCGTGTAGTTTCAAATTTCATTCTGCAAGCACTACAGAATGATTCAATTACGATATACGGCAGTGGAAAGCAGACACGATCTTTCCAATACGTGTCAGACTTAGTCGATGGATTAGTCGCTTTAATGGCGTCTAATTACTCTCAACCAATCAATATTGGAAATCCTGTAGAGCGTACGATAGAAGGTAAATATAGTGTCATTGAACACTCTTGGTGTGATCAATTAAACACCCTGTATGAGATATACAATGGATTTTAATTATTACAGAGTTTGCTCTTATAATCAAAGATCTAGTTGGTACAAATAGTAAAATAGTCGAGCTTGCTGCGGTCGAGGATGACCCACAAAGAAGAAGACCTGATATAAGTAGAGCTAAGAAATATTTGAATTGGGAGCCAAAGGTTCCTTTAGCTGAAGGACTTAAAAAAACTATAATGTACTTCGCGAAAGAATTACAAAGGACGAAACATTCACAAAAAGCTAGTTTTAAACAAACATCTTACAAAAACGATCATGACATAGTAGAGCAACTTTAAAGAGATAAAATATCAATATGATTAATTTATACACTTGTAAAAAAAAGTGGCTTTGGAAAGTGCCATTATGCTATGGACCACTATGTGCCAAAAGATTCCCCGTCCAAATTGAATTTTGTATAATTTAGAATATTAACGGGTACATGTTTTTAATTTAAAAAAGCACACACACAGAAAATTTTCGTAAATAGGATTGATATTTTGTATTCGCGCAATCAATATTCTTTTCAATTCTGTAGAGGATCTAAACTTTATTTTGCTACGTTCTGTAATTTTATTTATTGTCCATAACCACAGTATTGAGTTCAAACGGCAAATGCTTAAAGCGTATTACTTATTTTGTTATAGAAGAAAGAAATTTATTTATCATATATAACAGAAATTTTATTCATCGATCGACGGTGCTGGTGGAAGTTATCAACATCCTTTTTCCCTATGTGAAATATTAAGCTAACATATACGAACTTTGAATAATATTAAGCTGATTTTACTTAATATTTCTATGTAATCGATTCTCTTACGACTGTACATGCCTACCATCAAATTTCTCAAACGACGTATGAAAAAAATAGCGACGTAATCAATGTGCACCTGTAACTAGGAAGATTTTAACGAATGTTTCTGTCACCGAATTTTTTTATCATAGAGGCAAACACGTTCCGCAAGTTTCTCGGCAGAACGAGACGCCCGAACATTTGTATCATACTAGTAATCGTATCGTGTGATATAATGCACGGTATAAAACGTAAGCTGCGAGTACTGTAATATTTCGTGCGCGTGTAAACAGGAAAGTAATTTTATACTGTACCAAAAATATATTGTACACGAGTGTAAGTGAGTAAAACAGTTTCTGAAAGATAACACTATTCCGTTAGAACAATTTACGCGATATAATTTATATTCAAATAACGTTCCCATCAATATTCTACGTACGAGACAGAAAAGAAAATACAAAATCGATGTTCACGCTATAATAACCATGGTCGGGCGGCTACGCCCATCTCATTTGTAACGACAATCTGCGCTGATCGACGACGCGAGAATACGCACATTGTTGCATAACGAGCCGGTGATTCTTCTTGTCCGGTCGCGCTCCAACTAGATAATATTATAATTCCGGCAAGCGTGACCACTTGCTGAAGACGCATTCCATGGCGAGATTGAAGAATCGTCCGCGCCGTTTAAAGCACATTTGAAGGGCCGATTGTCTGTAATGGGTGTCGCGTGGGCCCTGACAGGGCGCACGTGGTTGTCCTGTCTCGAAGACAGGATAGAGACGATGACAAGCAAACGAACGAAAGAAAGAGACACGTAGATAGATTGGCGAGAGTAAGGGGCCGGTAAGACTCGCTGATTCTTAACGATAATCATCGCATCCGGGATATGCCGTGGCTTTGTCGTCGCGAACGAAAACGCCGCAAGGGTGAAGATGAGCTAATCGTCGAAGGAGACAGACTGCTTAACGATTCAGAAGGAAATAAGGCGGGCAAGCTGCCCCCTCCGCCATCTTTCCTACGCTTTCACGCGACCGGTTATGCTTCGTTTTCATTAAGTCGCACAGTTTAATTTCACGTAGACGCGTGGCTTTGTATAAATAACCACAGACACGATGGTTGAATACTTGGAACAGGTTTTGTGCATAAAACGTGTATTCTTTTTTATTTATTTTTCGATTCAACGAGCAGCTCGTTAAAAACGCGCCCTAGTGTACACCAGGTTTTAATGAACTAAGGGGGGTGTGCCGCGCGTAATCGACGAACTTCAACGACTTCCTGTCTGTAGAGAACGGAGGAACAGGTGACCTAATTCAGCGTAAAGTAACTCTTGCTCTCTATCCGTTGGTGGTCCGCCGGTAATCCGATCTGTCTATTGGTAAATGAGACGGGGAACGCTCGTCTAACGTGGGCCCAGCACGTGAGCAGCGTGAGTTACTTCTTACCTGCAAGAATAAACGCGGAGGGGATGTTTTAAACCGGGGAAAAGATGAATGGTTCGATTCGACGAACCCATACGTCACCCGGTACTATACTTTACCGAAGTCATCGTGGGGAGAATTCCACGATGCATATTAGGTTGACCAAGAGTTCGAGGTGAACTAATTCTATCGCATATTTTTCTAACTTAAGATTCAGAAATCTGTATTCAGTTAAATTTATACAATTAAAATTACACCAACTTTTGGACCAGTCCAATATAAGAAATACATACACGGGAATACACCTAACCTTAAATTTGCACGATCAATCGAAAGCATGTAAATGGAAGTTACATTTTTGTAAAGAATAAAGCTACATAAATATACGATAAATTGGGAAATTATTTACGTTACATCTTCCTATCACAATTGAGACACGACTGAGTGAAAAAATACTTTATTGCTGTGTTTACCAAGCGAACTAACAATAAGTAACATCAAATTTCGTCGCATTTTTCTCACCTTTTCTGTTAGTCATAAACCACGCAATTCAAGTTAGATATATCTCACTATCAGTCCAGGCGGGATCAAGAACGCAGCTCAAGCGTATTCTACACCTTGCCACATGAGTTACCTTCGAACAAACGTATTCATTGTGGACACGTCAATCCATTCTCGCTCGGTGTAAATGTATTCTATTCTTATTGAAAGAAAGCGAAACGGCGAGATGAAGACGCCAGATATCCTGCGTGGATATATGCACGTACACTTAAAAAAAAACTGTATAATATTCTCCGTAATTTACTGATTCAAATAACACTCTAAATTGTTTTCAGCAGCGATTTATTTATTTCAATAGGGAAATTACAATGCCTGGTTGAACGAAAATGTTTAACCATAGAAAATATCAACGTAGAAAAGAAATAACAGAAACCAAAAAGTATCGATTTGTCAAACCTATCAGAGGTGGTCGAACTTCTTAAAAGGATGAAGGGAGTTAGGAAGTGAGGTTAAATTATTGATAGGGTGAAGAAAAATTCGTCGTGAGACGGTACCAATGCCGATCGGAAGTTTCCCCGTAAAATTTGCATTGCGAATTTAACACGGCCGTTACCGTGCTTCTGTTCATCTCTACTTTGTGCCTGCATTATTTATAAAGCGCAGCAACGCTCCTCCAGCACTGTGCAGCCCTGTTACGGATTCGAAAGTGTCGCAGACTACTCGACACACATTCCCCGCATCTAACCTTCTCCGTCTTTATCTCGCGTGCCACCTTTTAACGTACCCTATCAGACCTAACATTCTTGCGTGCTTGTGGTTAATGATAAAAGCAAGAGATTCCCTGCGTTCCCTCGTTTCCGCGAAAGCCGGGAGAATACGTCTGGAAGCGTCACCTCAGCTTTTCCAATAAACTCGTAGGAAACTCAGCCGTGAGACACACGCGTAGCGGGTAATATGTGGAATTCTGAATATGAAAACGGTGGAAAAAGTTTTCTGAGTGTACGGTATTATTCATGGGGACTACTGTGGTCTGTGCTCGTAAGCCTGAGTGAAATATTTTGGAAATTCTGAGGGTACTTTTTTCTGAAAATACAAGAAACGCCTGCCCCTATAGCGTTCATAATTCACCCTTGGAAACACTCTCGCGCCCTCATCGATTCATTTTTCTTCTCGAAACAGCAGTAGTGTCATATAGATTCCCGGTGATTCTTTCGATTCTTCAAAAGTGTTAACCCTATCGTGACTAAATTATTTTCTTTAAAAATTTCTTTTTTATTTATACACCGATCTATAATGGATACTAAATGGACGTGAATTTTTATTCGAGTACCTTAAGTGGGACCTTGCGCACCGCTGATTACGGAAGGGCTGAAATAAAACATTCTCTGTTAAGAAATTCGCTTGAATAATAATTTCCGTACGCTATATTTCTTAAATGCTAGTTTATTAATTTTTAATTCCGCATAAATTAATGGACACAGCTACTCATGAACAGAGTAGCCTATAATTCTGACAACTCTAAGTGGTTTCTGTTAAAACGACAGGGTTTCCAGATCCTCAAAGGCGATTATCCCATGACGAACTCGTTCAAGCGTCGTCATTATGTGCCATCGGTGTACGTTTATGCATGATCTACGAGACTTTAATTATGCCTCCAGGTGGAACAAGGAATAGAGACTACGGCGATAGGCGAAAGCATGTTCGCGCGAGCGGCCAGCTGACAGAACAGAATAATTACAGAGGGCTCGCATTTTCGCGAAATTAGCATGTTCACGCTGGATGGAACATACTCTGATTAATACTTGTCATTTTCTTGAACATCGTACGAAAATGTAACCGGACAAAGTACCCATCGTTCCTTACTATATCACGTTGTGACATCCTATGCTTCTGGAAGTTCCCTCATTCCGTAATAATAGATCGTTAGATGCAACGAGGGGATCGTGTCCATTTCGATTATCGTAAAGTGCAGTTGGTGGGGATCTAAAGACGAAGTTTGTCGCTTCTGAATACACGATGGCTCACACTTTGCGCCCTTTCTATTTTCTTCAATTTCTACGTACATCTCGATTATCCGGAGATTCGTGTTGCGATCGAAGGTTATAGAGTACCAACAGTTCCAAGTTTCCTTCTCTCTGCGTACAATGCTCCTCGAAATTCACGAATTTATCGCGAATACCATTTGCAAGTGGACCATTCTCGAAATTGCAATCGACTGTAGAAATGCTTACCTTTGGTTTCACGTTCAAACGACGAAAATATATAGTTGGGGCCACAATATAGCGAGGTCGTAAATTAAACTCTGAAGAATCGGCACCGATTGATGTTGCGGCACTCAAGGCCGTGTGTTGCAGTCTGTTTGAGGGTTCCAACAATAAACTTTGGTACTTCAAGTAGAAAATGGTATTTCATTTACAAATGGAAAATATGTTAATATTAAAGCTACACAATCTTTTTGCACTTTCTATCTGTATATAACACGAGTAGATAAACTAAGATGCTAAAGACATCAATAAGACCTTTACCTGTAACCGTACTTCCAAAAGCGGCTTCCCCCAGAGGGAGAAACCCTAATTTGTCCTAGCTGCATGCAGTTTTCAGTAAATATATTAGAATCAGTTGACTTTCGCTGGATACAAGAATTCTTCGTACGGTCCTGACAATGGTTTCAAGTACTTATCTGCTCGTATCTCTGTCAATTTTCGGGTCCCGGCAGCTAAAACATGTTTACTTTGACGCCTAACCGATTTT